TATGTAATGACAGAGTGAGAATATTGTATGTAATGACAGAGTGAGAATATTGTATGTAATGACAGGGTGAGAATATTGTATGTAATGACAGAGTGAGAATATTGTATGTAATGACAGGGTGAGAATATTGTATGTAATGACTGTGTGAGAATATTGTATGTAATGACAGAGTGAGAATATTGTATGTAATGACAGAGTGAGAATATTGTATGTAATGACAGAGTGAGAATATTATATGTAATGACAGGATGAGAATATTGTATGTGCTGACAGGGTGAGAAAATTGTATGTAATGACAGAGTGAGAATATTGTATGTAATGGCAGGGTGAGAATATTGTATGTAATGACAGAGTGAGAATATTATATGTAATGACAGAGTGAGAATATTATATTTAATGACAGGGTGAGAATATTGTATGTAATGGCAGGGTGAAAATATTGTATGTAATGACTTTGTATAATGCATGGCAAAAAGTTCCGAGACACCAAATTTGATGATATGTTGTAGGAAACCGTGGCTACACAAATACAATGTATGTTGAAATTATTTCCTGTAACACTGCAATATATCCCTGATAGACAGAATGATTTTATCACATTCAAAATTGTGTTTATGAGATATTCTAGATCGATTTCACAAAACTATATCACCAACATGCCTCATGAGTTGTCACTTAAAAATTTACACAAAGCAGAAGTAAAGAAAAAGACGGTTTTAGACAAGAAACAATGTTACCTGAAGAAAAAAATCCTTAAAAGTATTAAAATGTAAATAAAGCAGTATTTTGACTGCCATACAAAATAGTAACTCACTTTATCTGTACTCATTGCCCCCAAAAAAGAGGATAAATAAATATGAAATAAAATAGAATAGTTCAGGTAATTGGCCAATGGGTTACTATTTTTGGATACTTTAAAAGTACACCTCGGCTTTAACACACCGAAATTAAAAAAGCTTTTGAGAAAATGAAATAAAAGTATTTCTGGGGCATAATTGGGCTATTATGCTAGATTGATTGGTACTCTGGTTAGATTTTATTTAAACAAAGTTGTTATTTCTCAAACAGCTATACACATTAACAAATTACAAGTTAAACTTTACAACTCATTATACACGGTACATATCCATATCGGTACCCTCTTTGCGAAATCTGCTGAAACGGTACCCTCTTTGTACATGCACAGGCCATTCTCTGCCCAAAACAAACCAGCGATGGATAACAAGCCAGTAAAAATTAATTGTAATAAGGAAAGGAGGTATGACACGTGGAAAAGATGTATACCACGGAACACTAGAATGTTTTATCTATGTGCTGATTTGTCATGTGCCCGTTTTTCATGTACTGCAACTTCACAATAAGCTACAAAAAATCGACATGTCTTGCTTCGCCCATCACCTCGACATACTTTTCGGGCTGAAATGAACCTGTGGCTTGATTATATATGCATCATACATATCTAATATGTTCATTTACATATCATCTTCGGACAAATGGCAGTACATTGTCAAAAATAATTGTAAAATTCATAAAAACACCCTACTTTCAGTTTTGCAGCGGCACGGGCTACCTCTCTTCATTTGAATTTTTATATCACAAGTACCCTCTCATTTTTTAACACATAGGTATACTCAATGCACGACATATGCTTTTATTTGTGTTAATGTTAAGTATGTAATATTTACATAAATAAAGAAATATTACATACTTAACGATTAGCGCAAATAAAAGCATATGTCGTGCCTTGAGGGTACCTATGTGTAAAATAAATGAGAGGGTACTTGTGATATAAAAATTCAAATGAAGAGAGGTAGCCCGTGCCGCTGCAAAACTGAAAGTAGGGTGTTTTTATGAATTTTACAATTATTTTTGACAATGTACTGCCATTTGTCCGAAGATGATATGTAAATGAACATACTAAATATGTATGATGCATATATAATCAAGCCACAGGTTCATTTCAGCCCAAAAAATATGTCGAATGATGGGCGAAGCAAGACATGTCGATTTTTTGTAGCTTATTGTGAAGTTGTAGTACATGAAAAACGGGTACATGACACATCAGAACATAGATAAAACATTCTAGTGTTCCGTGGTATACATCTTTTCTACGTGTCATACCTTCTTTCCTTATTATATTGAAACTTTACTGTATTGTTATCCATCGCTGGTTTGTTTTTAGCAGAGAGTGGCCTGTGCATGTGCAAAGAGGGTACCGTTTCAGCAGATTTCGCAAAGAGGGTACCGATATGGATATGCACCGTGTTATAGCCCGAATTTTTTTTTTATCAGAATCGAAAGCTGATTTTTATTTTCAAATAAAAAAATTAACTTGAAGAAATTTTAGACCAAAATTAACATATTATGAATTTAATATTGTATTAATTACACCGTCTGAAGTAAAAAAACCCATTGAAAACCGTATATTAAGAAATCTACATGATTAGATTGAATTGGACCACACATCATCAAACATTGTGGAGATTGTATTACACCAACGATTGCATCAATTATCAATAATAGTATTACCCAGATTATGTAAAAAGAGCTAGAGTAAATCGGCGGGGTGGGGGTTAACTGTCGACCGATATCAATTTTATCAACTACTGTCGATTCAAATATGATCGACAATGGGAAATCTTAAATCTAAAAGTACAAAGGGTGGCAGGAAAAAAGCTATGCCCGAAAACACATTACCAGGAAAATAGGAATTTGAATATTGTCTGGCCTGATAGTGTAGTGGTTATGGTGCATGTTTTGCATGCGGAGGGTAGTAAGTTCAAATCCAACAAGGGGGTAATACTTTTATTAGGCCTTTTGTATTTTATCATTGATTTATTTATTTATTAAATTTCTATTTTATTTATTCTTTGCTTACATTATTTATACATGTATATATATAGTCCATGTTGTTTATTCACGAGAATGTTATGGCATATATAATGAATTGAAATTTAATTTAATGCATTAATCAAACAATGCCTACAACCTCTGTGGCACTCGAGTCGCGTTGACAATGGTGTGTTCGTCTCCAGTGCCAACAGGTGATTACAACGGAGAATGAATGGCAATGTTTTCAAACAAGTACAAACAGAGTGATGACGTCCTTCTAACAGCGCCACAACATACACCTCAACCAAATAGTCCAGGACTCGCGTGCTCGCAATGAATAAATGATTTGCAAGCCATTATGTCACGTGTAGCACAAAAGCTCAATTGAATACCTTTACATTAAATTATTCTAATAATAATAATAATAAAATAAAACCGATATTATTTGGGAAAAAAAGAATCGAAATGCTGGGAATTTAACCCACAGACACTTGGGGTTTGGAACTCAAAACGCCTGTATGCTTTGTGACTGATATTATTACTGTGTGAATTTCGATGTATGTAGTTAAAGCTTAATTAATGAGGGTCCATCCGCCCTTTCGGGCACAAAATGCAGCTTACGCTGTCGAGTACGGACCCCGGACATATCACCAGTCATGTCCTTAAAGAGTTAATTTTGAAGCACAAAATGGTGATAATTTACCTCCATGCAATTTCCACGGAGTATTAGCCAAAGGTATGAATTTTGAGCCGAAAAGTAGGTCACTGTACGGCGGTCAATGAGAACCTAAATGTTCAGTGACCTGTGACAATAGGAAAGGTTTTTAGTCCTAAAAAGGGCTGTTGATGCCAGCTATATGCCTGCCTTACAAGCCGTCTATCTGTACTAGGGGCTCATGCACCCTAGTACACCATCCTCGTCGTCTCAGCCTACTTTGTTGGGCCACTCCCCTCGGCATTAGTCAGGACACCGGCAGCTAACTTAACGAAACTGCCGCATTGAATCTTCCATCATCTGCCGATGCCCTGTGTTTTCTCAGCGACGTGCACGCTCCGAGGGGGAGTGAGAAGACTGTGTGAATACCACACATGCAAAAATTATATATGTAAATAATTATGCAAATAAAACAATTTTCAAACATCAAAGGATATGTAAAATGTGTACTGCAAATATTTGTGCACATTATAATTAATCAATCAATTACATATTGGAAAATTTGACTCAGAATTAATGCAAAATAAATTTCTAATTACCTCCCTTTAATTACATGAAATGTTATATTGGGTAATATTTTCATAAATAATGCTTATTGGAACTTACAATATTGACAAATCTTAATTTGAGTATCATATTTATGAAATAAATCCATGAAAAAATGTGTTACAGGATCTTTAAAATCCAAATAAAATACATGTTTGTCAATCCCAGCACATAACTTTATAATGAGTCGTTTTGAAAGAAAAATCACATTTCAACATCTATAATAAAAAATTTTTATTATAGATGTTGAAATATGAATTTTTTTCAAAACGACTCATATTAAGTTTCTTGATAGAATTATATGATCAGCACATGTGCTGGGATTGACAAATATGCATTTTATTTGGATTTTAAAGGCGTTTTGAGCTCCAAACCCCAAGTGTCTGTGAGTAATACATGATTTATTTAAAAGTTTGTTGTAATGGCTGCTTTCCTTGAATGAGATTTATTGTCAAAGATACCAAGGTCAATATGACAGCATTAAATGTTCCATCTTTGAGCCTTATTAATTTTGTTTTGTTTGTTTTTTATATAAACATGTACTTGACGTCTGAGAATTTCCTGTGACAATGATTAGGTCGCTTTTTGTGTTATATTCATCAGGGTCTTTCTTAGTCCAACTAATTAGTCTTGTCAAAGAGACACCGAGATAATTTTGGACGGGCGCTGTCTTTTTCCAACGGTATGACAGTAAGAAAAAAAAGTCTGTAAAATGGGTCAAACCGTTCACGCCAAATTAATTAGGCTAGGTCTTTCAAAAAGACCCTGTATTCATCAAGAAATTGGTGTATCCATGACGGTTGGTGCAATATCCGTATTGTGTTCAGCAGGGGAACTAACCGCTTATAGCTTGATGCAGTATTTGTCTCCCTTCTTCTTTCCGTTCTTTTCCGGAATTCTTCGGCATGATATGTTTTGGGAAATACCTGCTCGACACGTTTTCCTTAAACAGCCAATCAAATTCAGCCACGATCGGATACGGAATTCCAGTCGTTGGAGAGCCGGCTTATCATTTTGCGACAAAACTCAAGAAATAAACAGTAAATATGAAAGTGTTTATTGGTAAGTTGTTCGTTTCCTTAATATTTCTTCACAGATTTTGATAGCTACTCAGCTTAAAACCTTTAAACATTTGCTTCACAGCGGAAAGTTACACATTTTCGCGACCTGTCAAACTTAGAACGTCAACAGGTCAACGTCAAGTATTTAAACAGATTTCTGTTATCATCAAAGGGACCCAGCACAGTGTTGGGATAGTGTAAAAAAGTAATTTTAAAAAAATATATATATTGTATATATAATATATAGACTATATATTATTTATAAAGTATAAATTTTTTTCTAGAATTATTTTTTTTACACTATCCCAACACTGTGCCGGGTCCCTTTGGTTATCATATGACGTGCACTCATTATTAAGTTAAAACAATTATTTATGGTTTCAACACTTTATGTCAATGAAATAAATTGCGTATATTTACTTTCTATAATGACATCACTTGGGCAACTCTTCATTAATTTAGTTCGTTGAACAGGTTCGCTATTCATATTTAACAGTGTGTGGATGGTTGGCAGGCAAATACTGAGTTCAGTTACCTGGCTCGCGCTTGTAAATGCCAACATCTATGTAATAAGAGTATAATCTGTAAGTTTTGCAGTGGAAATATTGAGATTCGGTTTGGAAGTGCAAGGTGTAACATTTCAATACAGTGTAACTTCCGAAAACCGAACACCCATGGGACTTGTCAAAAAGTTCGGATTTCAGAGGTTTCTGGAATTCAGAGGTTTATGGTAATGTGAACAAGAGTAAGCCACTTAATATCACTAAATGTCAAGGAAGATATGGCAATTACTGTAATATCATATATAATAGTCTTTTAATCAAGATAAAGATGTGAATGAAAAGAATACATTTTTATCTTACCTGCAAATGCTTTTGAATTTCTATCAGTTTGTAGAAATATTGTTAATTGCATAAACTTACATATCGTCCGATGCTAGTTAATTAATTATCACACCAAATGCAATAAGATCCCTAAAGACGTTTGATTCATACATTGTCCAATTTATTGTCATTTAATCCGCTAATAAACACTTCAAATTAACTGACCGCCGTAAATTACTTTGTCTAACCCATCACTTCAAACATACCATTTCACAGTTTGTGATTTTAATGCGTGTCAAATTACACGATCACCGCTAATTAGTAAACAATCGATAGGGAGAGTAAATCTTCCTGCAGGGTAAACATTCTCGATTTACAATGTATTTCACACCTTTGGATATTTCCGGTTTTTGGAGGTAAAATTGCATTGATTTGACTCTTATTTTACGAAAATATCGTCCGGAATTCAGAATTTAGAAGTTCCGGAATTCAGAAGTATTATATTAATAGAAAATAGAAGGGAAAAAATGGGGACCGAAAAAATTGTTCGGTTTTTAGAAGTTTCCGGATTTCAGAAGTTCCGGAATTCGGAAGTTACACTGTAGACTGATTTACAGTTCGGAACTAGCAGACGACATGCTATTCTTATCAGTAGAATTGCAAGTAAAGATAACCGATTGCGTATTCCACTGTATAAATTGTATGTAAAATGGACTGACTTTTGGTAGATTTAACTGTAAATCCTAATACCTTCATTGTCAAACAATGTGTTGAAATATATACAGAGACAAAGTTAAGATCACAAGCTTTTCATTGGTTAAAAAATTTAAAATTGGACATTAAATTGCCCAATGCTAGTAGTTTAAAAACAGCTAAATTTGTATTGTTTTAGCATTAGAGATATCGCTTTTACTTGAAGATAAGGGAAACAACTCGTATTATTTCATCCGATATACCTCGGTTAATAACGTAGTTTATATAGAGACTGTCAATGGTTGTATTGCTTGATGCAACTTTAGTTATATTATTAGATCTGTTCCTCCTGTCTAAAGTAATATTTTCAGAGGAAAGGTCATCAGCATTGAAGTCTTATGTATCTTTAGGTTATATTTTACAGGATCGCTGTTAGCACTGTGTATAGCAACATGCTCTTGTATGTATGCGGGTACAGATGTTGTAGAACTTACTCCAAGCAACTTCAACAAACTAGTACTGAATGGTGACGAGCTTTGGGTTGTGGAATTCTATGCGCCATGGTAATTATGATATACTATAGATTAAATATATAAGACACCCCTATTTAAAGAAATACAAAAGATATGAATGTTTTCTCGACTAACAAAACATAATAAGTATAATAAAACTTAAAATTAGTAAACTTAATAACAATGTATAAGCGATTTAAGACAAAAAATCAACATCTTACTAGCCACTGTAACCAGTAGTCTTAAAAGCATTAGATACATTCCTATAAAACCATGTTGTGTTATATTATGTAGGTGTGGCCACTGTCAACAGCTTGCTCCTGAATGGAAAAAGGCGGCTACAGCATTAAAAGGTGTGGTCAAAGTGGGTGCCGTCAATGCTGATGAACACCAGAGCTTGGGTGGACAATATGGTATCCAAGGATTTCCAACTATCAAAGTTTTTGGACTTGATAAATCAAAACCAACTGATTATCAAGGTATATTTCTTACTGAATTTCAAGGGGTTACATCCTGCTGAATATGTATTATGGGCTAATCCAACTTTAAACTGGAACAGGCCATTTAGAGTTTTAGGGATTTCCATATAACATGTTTTTTATGTTTTATACCAAAGTTAAAAAATTGTTTATTGAAACAGAATAACTCTTTTCCTCTTTATAAGGAAAAGAAAACTTATTACAGCACAATTCTCTCAGACAGACCATGATTAACTTGGTTAAAAATTTAAGATAGGATAAATAGATAAAAAAAAAAAAGAAAAAAAAATGAAGGGAATTTTTGAGGAAGAAAATGAAAATTTATTGTAAACCTGATATCCACCTTTTTATAAGCTCGACTATTCGAAGATTATGAGAGCTATTGTAGTCGCCATGGCGTCAGCGTCCGCGTCTGCGTTGGTTAAGTTTTTTGTAAAGTCAAATATCTCAATTATTGCTTGAGATATTCAATTGAAACTTACAATACTTATTTATAGTAACAAGGTACATCAGATTGACAAGTTGGATAACTCTGCCTACAATATTGACAGAATTATGCCCCTTTTTAACTTAGAAATTTTGGTTAAAGTTTTTTGTAAAGTCAAATATCTCAATTATTGCTTGAGATATTCAATTGAAACTTACAATACTTATTTATAGTAACAAGGTACATCAGACTGACAAGTTGGATAACTCTGCCTACAATATTGACAGAAATATGCCCCTTTTTAACTTAGAAATTTTGGTTAAAGATTTTTGTAAAGTCAAATATCTCAATTATTGCTTGAGATATTCAATTGAAATTTAAAATACTTTTTTATAGTAACAATGTACATCATTTTGCAAAATTGCATAACTCTGCCTGCAATATTTGCAGAATTATTTGCCCCTTTGAAACTTAGAAATTTTGGTTAAAGGTTAAAAGTCTTCAAAGATATTTACTTGAAACTTTACACATGCACTTAGGGTCATAATTGGAGGGTCATAATTGTATGTCACTGACAAAGTTCCATAACTCTATCTTGCATTAAGGCTGATTCATATCCCCTTTTCTACTTAGTCTCTTGGTTAATGTTTACATGCAAGTTTTACATATCTCAATAACTATTAAAGGTATTTATTTAAAACTTCACATATGCATTTAGGGTCATAATTGTAGGTCACTGACAAAGATCCATAATTCTATCTTGCATTTAGGCTGATTTTTCTCCCCTTTTTCAACTTAGAAATTCATGGTAAAGTTTTGCTTGTAAGCTGTTATCTCAATAACTACTGAAGGGTTTGTGCCTTTTTTGGGACAATTTTATGCATTCATAATAATAAAGCAGTGATTTACTTGATAAAACATCTTAATAACAAGCCGTTGTACCTTTTTTGTCAAATTTATGTATTCATAGGTAATTAGTATTATTACACTAAATAAAACACCCTTGTGACATTACCTTCCAAATAGTCAAGCCAATACTGTATAATTAGAGTCTCTCTAAGGCCTATAACATGAATTTATAAAAAAAGATTAGCCCTTTTGTGAACTTAACATTATCAAGGCTCTTTTACTATCAAGCACTTAGAATAGTCGAGCATGCTGTCCTACCGACAGCTCTTGTTAGTTTACCTTTAAGTTTACTTCTTTGGCACAACAGTTTTGAAATAAAAAAATATTAATTACTTAATATGTAAAGTGCATGAAAGGTAAGTACCATTCCATATAATTTTTTTATGGTCTACTGATTGATTGGGTGTATAACATCAGTGTTAATGGAGATTATATCTGTTGTAGGGCAAAGACAAGCATCCGGTATAGTAGACGCAGCCTTAAATGCTGCCACATCAATGGCTCGACAGAAATTGTCCGGAAAGAAGGGTAGTGGAGGCAGTGGTGGAAGTGGCGGAGGTAGCAGACAGGTTAGCTTAATTTTGCTATTAGATTAATTGGAACCATATTTTAATACCAAATCAAATGACTGATTCATTTTAGACAAATGTTTAAACTGGGTTACTGCAGAATAACAACATAAATTAATTGGTTTAAAGTTAACATTAAGATGACTAGAAAGGGTGCCCTCTATGGCAAAGTGGTTAAATTCACTGACTTAAAATCACTTGCCCCTTATTGAAGTGGGTACAAATCCTGCAGAGGACTTTTGGGTTATTTCATCCGAGGAAGGTTTTCAGCTAGCTAACCAATAGTGAGTGTTTCTCCTTAGAAGCCAACTTGTGCCAGAAATGTTGCATAGAAGGGCACCTGAGGTGTTCCGCATGCGGTAAAGCTTGAAAATACCAAATGACCTTTACACCATATAGTGAATCAGATTGACTTTGTACTTTGTCAGATTATATATCCTAGTTTATAATGCATGTCATTTTCAGGTTTTTCCATTTAGAATTACTATGAATATTTCTGAGTACCCAACATGCTGTTATTTAATCAGATTATATTCATGTTTTATTTATGGACGTTTCCTTTTTCCTTTTTTACCACTCCTCTACTTCTGACATTTAAGTTTACAATTTAGATCTGTTTTATGAATTGGTTTCACCATTTAATCAAAATTTGCTTGAATCTTAATGTTGTATTTTTCTCATGAAGGCTGACCCAGATGCAGTGATTGAATTGACTGATTCAAACTTCCAAGAAAAAGTCATCAACAGTGATGATATTTGGTTGGTGGAATTCTTTGCCCCTTGGTGCGGTCATTGTAAAAATCTAGCACCCCAGTGGGCGCAGGCTGCTACTGAGCTTAAAGGCAAAGTTAAACTTGGAGCTCTTGATGCCACAGTCCATACTGTAATGGCTAGTAGATATGGGGTAAGTTCATTCCATAAATTATAGATAAAATTTGTCTTGTATAACACATATTTAATATATCCATTGTTCACAGTCAGTTTTAAAATGACTGTTCATTTCGAAAACTCAACATTTTAATCATAAAAAAAACATGTACCTGAATTGTGTTTTTCCTTTAGTAATTTGGTTGGGTAATAATAATATATTACCATAAAATATGCAAAGCGTCATGTGAATTGAATATTATATTTTGATTTTTCTTTTAATGATTTAAAATTAATTTTTCACTTATTCCATTTTATACATGCTTTTCACATTGCAATAAATACCTCCCCTTGTCACCATTTTAGGGTCATTTCAATATATTTTATGCCTAAGATAAGATAAAAATCTCACAAAATACTATCATGAAAACTGATAAAATCTTTAACATTTAAGTGCTGTAATAATTAATACTTCTTTCGTATGTTTGGAAAAAAAAGATTGTTAACCTAAATCAGCTGTTCATGTTATTTTTTTCTTATTTGTTAATTATTTAATATTATATAGAATATTGACCCTCAAAATATCTGCTACTTTTGGCAAGGGATGTAAATATTGTAAAAATTGGGAACTGACTATTCTTTTAAAGTTTTTATTCTCAACTTTCAGATAGATTCACTCTTTTTTCATACCTAGTTAAATTAATAACTTTAATGACCCAAGCATTTCATAAAATTCTGACTTTAACTTAGGCATGTGAATTTTTTTGGCTTAATAATTATATTAGATTTACAATTTGTGGTATAGGTTCGTGGATACCCAACTATCAAATATTTCCCTGGTGGTAAAAAGGACGGAGAGGCACAGGAGTATGATGGTGGACGTACAGCGTCAGATATCGTTAGCTGGGCATCGTCTAAGGTGGCGGAGAATGTTCCCCCTCCAGATGTGTACCAGGTATGTCTTTTTCTAGACCTGACAATGCTAAATGACCCTACAATGACCTTTCAATGCTTACAATTGCACAGACCTCGGCTTAAATGAAGAGCCATGCCAGCCTGTTCTTAGCTGACCAGTTACCAAAATTTTCATTTTGAGTCACAAGTTTTAAATGACATTGAACTGTATCGAAATTGATTTTGGACAAGAACATTAATATGACAACTAAAAGTATTTTATTGAGTGTGTTTTGTTGTATAATTTTTTTTAATTAAAAGCCTTGATAAAGGAGTTCAACTGAGGTATAGAAGCCTAAAAACATAAAATTTGAAATTCTTACATAGATCAAGTGATGAAATTAAAATGGCAATATCTGCAAAAGATATTAAGGAAATGATTAGTTAAATTGAAAATTGATTTTAAATTAAATTATTTGCCCAGTTTGAGTAAAAAGCATTACAACGATTTTAATTTTTAGGTCATTGCTCACAAATAATGATTAGTCTGGGAATACTAAGTAAGGGAATGATCTGAAATTTTGCACACATGTTATTAGCCAAGACCTATAGCAAATAGTATACCTTTCGTGAAAAATTAGCGAACACCATGGATCCTGATCAGACATAACGTTGGTTTTGTCAAGAAGCGGCTCATTTTTTATTTTCCGGGGGAGCATAATTATAGTCAGCGCCTTGTCCGTCTGTTGTCTTGTCCGGAGCATAACTTGAAAACCCTTGGAGATAATTTGTTCAAACTTCATACAGTGGTAGAGGGCATTGAGGGGGAGTGCAGTGTCAAAGAACCATAACTCTATTTTGCCCGGTTTTTGAATTATCTCCCCTTATAGAAAAATCTTGTCCGGGACATAACTCTAAAACTATAAGAGATATCAAGATGAAACATTGTAGGTAGATAGATCTTATTGAGTAGAAGTGCAGTGCAAAAGAACCATAACTCTGTTAAGCCTCATTTTTGAATTATGTCCCCTTTTAGAAAAATCTTGTCCAGGACATAGCTGTAAAACTATAAGAGATATCAAGATGAAACATTGTAGGTAGATAGATCTTATTGGTAGATGTGCAGTGCACAAGAATCATAACTCTGCCTTGCCTAATTCTGGAGTTATTGCCCTTTGTTTATTTTTACTTTTTGAAGTTGTCCGGGACATAACTAGGAAATCATAAGAGATATCAACAAGAAACTTTGTAGGTTGATAGATTACATTGATTAGAAGTGCAGTGCAAAGAACTGTAACTCTGCCTTGCCTAATTTTGGAATTATTGCACTTTGATTTTTTTCCAGGGACATAACTCTGAAACTACAAGAGGTGTACTTTCCTGTGTCCGAAACCTATTCGGGGAGCATCACCCGGCTCAAACCGGGCTCTTGTTTCATTTTACTTGACACCTATTTTATCTTCTTTTATCATTTGTACATGTGGTTTTCTTATTCATCTTATTGAAATATCTATTTTTCAAGTCTAGTCTGTCAAACATCATGCAATTACAACTTTGAGTCTTGCAGAGTAATCTTTAAATTATTCCTCCCTACGCAAACCTTTTCTCCATTTCAAATGATAAAGCAAAGCATGTGGTATGTAGTGTTAAAAGGATTTTTTGACATGAAGGTATTGTAAATAATTTTGCAAATGTCAAAAAGTTGACTTTCTTTTATTATTGTCATGCACTGTCATTATCGTTATTACAATTATCATTATAAGTGTTTAACATTAATTAGTTTTTGGTTATTTATTTATGTATATTGACAATTATGTATCTTTAAATAGATTTAGGTTATTTATTTATATATATTGACAGGTTGTGGACCAGAGTGTTTTAAGTGACAACTGTGATGACAGACAATTATGTATTGTATCTATTCTACCTCATATCCTGGATTGTCAGTCGAAATGTAGAAACGCTTACATCAAGACATTAAAATCTGTAGGAGAACACTTCAAAGCTAAACAATGGGGGTATGTACTAATATATTATTCTCTTATTTGTTCATCAGTTTAATCATTGCCATGCTAGGTCTATAAAATAAACTTCTTTGGGGGTGGGGGGGGATTTTCAAAATATTTACTAACTCATACTGAAAAGGGAACAGTTGAAACATTGATTAATCGTCATGTATGTGCCAGTCAGCTGATCTTGATCTACACTGGTCGCATGGATAGAATCTGTTGCCACTAGCAGACTAGGGGTGAAATTGGTTAATTATAGGTGCCTATTTCTAATTTTTCCATTGCTCAGCAGGTCAAGTATTGCAAAAGCCTAAGCGAATTGTTTTAACTGAGAACTGGAAATGCTCAAGCACATTTGAAAAGTTTTGATTTTCGTACTTTAAAATATTAGTTAAAGGAATTCAATGCTTTTGGTACATAATTAAAGGATTTTGGTATGTTAGTAAAATATTTAATTAGTGGATTTTGGTACTTTCAGATGGGTGTGGGCAGAAGCCGGTGCTCAAATGAAATTAGAAGAATCTTTAGGTATTGGTGGATTTGGGTACCCAGTAAGTATTTCTTGTTTGCTTTGACAGTCAGCTTCTATAATAAATTGTTTAAGTGTATAAAGTTATATATTTGATGCAAAAATTGTTATTTGCATTGTTAAAAAAGAATACTTCCAAAATATTTTTGAAATAGAAATGGCAATAAATTGCCATAAGGCAAGTGGCACATGCACACAGTCATTGCTAAATGGATAAAACCCTACTTAAGATAGGAAAATAATATTTTGTTCCAGAACATTTTATTCTGTTTACGTACATTATTCATGTGTATAAAATAACAGAGACATTCTATGTTACAACTTTTTAGGAACCAAACATAAAATAATGAAATCCAGTATAATTTTACTGTTGATAAATTTTATAAAAATATTTCATATGATATAGATTTATACCCTTTACATCAAAGTATCTCATGCCCTTCATCTTTCTTTAGTGGTCAAGTCAATAATCAGATTAATTCTTTCAAAATATTTTGCTTTAATTTACAATATTGTATTACAATTGAAAAGTTAAAAAGTCCCATATCCCGTACACTTTTTCATGTAGGTTGTACACAAAACAGACTACACATGAGAAAAAGTGACAAACTTGTAATATGCATTTGTTTGTTTTTCCATTTTTACACCAATTGAAAACTTTTTTGCCATTATTGTCACATATTACAGTCTAACTTGCCCATGCGACAACGTGTATTAAGCGACTTCTGTCTTAAACGACCACTTTAAATTCCCCCCGATCATTTTCTCTCTATGTCTTTAATGTATTAAGCGACTTTTGCTCAACGCGACCAGCGACCGCTAATTAGTCACCTAATTGACAACAATCTTTTCATTAAACGACCACTTTTACCTGTCAAGTAATTGTGTTTTTAGAGAACGCCACCTCGTTAAGTCACAAGTGTTAACAATCAAAACACAACAATAAACGTGTGAAAAACTCTATTTCCCATACCATTTTAGCGTATGCAAATGAAGTTAAGTATACGCGTGACGTGTATTATCCAATAATATCGGATAAACAATGCAACGCTCCGCCCATACTGAGATGGTGTATACGCTTCGCTTGTTGACATTTAGACTGCATTGAATTGACCTTGGACTTGATCAGTCATTAAATTAATCGTAACAAATAGATGTAGATCTAGTTTGTTTATTTCAAATGAAAAAAAAATGCACAACAGAAAACGTCTTCACTAATAGGGTTTTCGTGTTGGAGACAAGGAAAAACAACGGAGAAGTTAAAAAATTCTGGAAAAAATGTCAAACATGTACGTAATGGATCTTGAAACTGTTTTGTTAATAAATATCAGAAAGTTAATTTTTACATTTGCATCCATTTAGATTATCGGAGCGTACTTTTTTCAACATTTATATAAAAATGAAGTTGAAAAACAATCCCACCGAATAAAAAAGATGTCATTTATAAATTTTGACTTTTATATCACGCTGACTGTCTTAAGAGACCGTTTCATTAAGCGACCGTTTTGGGTGTTTCCCTTGCCCGGTCGCTTAATACACGTTTGACTGTATGGTAATTAGTTATCATTTAATATATCTGATTTTAAATTTTAGGCAATGGCTGCAATAAACTCAAGGAAAATGAAATACGCCTTACTGCGTGGACCATTTGAGGTAAACGGTATTAAGGAATTCCTCAGGGACTTGTCGTATGGACGTGGCTCCACTGCACCCGTAGCAGGTGATAAATTACCAAAAATAGAGGAACAAGAACCCTGGGATGGCAAAGATGGTGAAGTAAGTACTAAACATCTAACAAACAGTAACTTTTGTAATACTGGTAGATATTTAATTATGCAAATGAGACAAATATTTACATATGCGAATAAGCACTTAGTCTGTTAAAAAATTTCATGTTATCTTTTTTGACATGACATAATGATCTGTGATAGTAATTTCTATTCATTTTCTATTTTTCAGCAAATCGTTGAAGAGGATATAGATCTCAGTGATGTTGAGCTTGATGATTTGAAAGATGAATTGTGATTGGACGGTATTTTTAGCTCATCGGAAGTTCCATTATGTCATAATCCTTGTAACCAAAGCCATCAAACCATAAGATCATATCCATTAAAGAAACATCAAGTTCTATGAAATATTGTCAAGTTTTAATATCTTGTTTTGTTTTTTGTAACTCTATTAAAGCTGCTACCCCTTTTTGGTGGGTATGTTAAATTTTTGAATAACAAGAGTACAATATCAAATACATGTGTGTTATTTTTTGACCTTGGCATTGGTCAGAAATATTTTGATGATCATTTAGTCCATAGTATTAAAGGTGGCTGGTGTTTTATTGAGAATTTTTACAATTGACTTGCTTTGTTTAGGCAACGAGAATGTGGTCAGGTGACACTATATTAGTAGACAGACCAGGTCATATACTGGTGGTTTTATCTGTACTCTAGCATCCAAAATAACATGGGATCAGTCTGGAAACAAGAAATCGGTTTATCTTGCATGTATATGCCGAAATGTTTTGATTATTTTCTTTGTAAAATAAAAGCATTTAGAATAGTTTGATTTAGAATGAGAGCTATAAAATAGCTTGTTTGATAGTGTCAGAAATGATTTGAAATTAAATTCTTTTTTCTTCATTTTATTGTTTCAATAACGTTCAAGCTATGTTTTTATTCTCGATACACATTGAGTTCTTGAATCATAAAAAATAATTTTAGATCGATGTAAAGAGGGGAACATATTATATCAGTATAAAATTGTAAGCCATTTGTAACAAAACAATGAAGGAAAGAACGAGTCAAAAATATTAAAGGATGGTGCAATAGTGATGATTGTTATAACATTATCTTAGTTATCTTTCTTGAATCGATCAGGTTATGGTGGTGTTGGTAATTTTCACTCCGAATTACGGCAGTAAGCCATATTGAATTTACCAGAGCACAATTCAGCCACCGCATCGTTCCTGATCAGGTTAAGAACATAAAACAAATTACAACTTATCTTATAATATGTTACTATGACATAGTGTAGTTTACTCACCGATAACACAGACTGTTTATAAGACAACGGCATTCTTCACATGGACCGTTTATAAGACTGACCTTTTTCACATGACACTTCACAAACTTGATGTCTTTATTGTCTTCACCATCATGTTAAACTCGCACTATTTTTTTTTGAATTTGTTCATAAATATATTTTTTACAATCCTAAGGAAGAAAAGCGCATTGAATCATGAAAAGTTTTGTTTTGATTGGTTCTGAAAAATAGTCCTTAGAAATTGGTTTAATTGTATGTATACATGTATTACTGTGTGTTATGTATGACTGGGTGTCAGTTAAGTTAAAGCTCTAAGTGAAGCAAAATTGTGATAAATATAGAACTTGTAACCAGGTGTAGTGTATCAATATGCCAGTGTAATTGAATATCATGTAATAGTCATTGAATGATATATTCTTAAGGCATGTGTGAGAGTAGGTGTTGTTTGTATGTGTGGTGTGTAGAGTAACATACATTTATATATACATTGTAAAGACATGATTTGAGTGGTGCTTAGAGTTACATTATAATATGAATGGTAAAACTACCAGGTGCCTGCTTAACGATCTGTTTTGTTTTTCTCTCAAAGTTTTTATGCTAAACAATTTGACGTTAGGAATAAAATCTGGTGGCATAATGAAATATGAAATATAATATGGAGGCATGCTGCTTTAAAACTTTATGTAGCTATTTTTGCTTAGGTTAAGGTGCATTTTTAAACCAGTCTTGAAACTTCGGACTGGATCATGTTGATGAAGAAATTTAAGATTCTTCAAATGCAGAGGCACTGAGTTCAAACCAGTCAAAATTTTAAGCTTTTTCGGATTGAGTCTGATTAAAAAAAGATTTTCCAGTCGGACCACTTTCATGATACCTATAGAGAAATAATTGTCATTACCATTTTCAATGTAAAAAGATATTAATTTTTCCAAAAAGTTGATTTCAGTATGAACTTTAAATACCTTTAATTCTCTGTTGTTTGAATTTGTTGTATTATTTTGTGAATGGTGTTTTGCTTTACGTCAGTGCTACTTTTCTACGATTTTATCTCAAAACATTTGTCCACCCCAAATGAATGAGAGGTTGTCGATAATAATTTTGGAATGAAAGAAAGAGTTATAATAAATAGTAGACTAAACTTACACAATGTTCAGATTATGTATATCGTTTTGAAAATATTTTATTGTATTAAGGGATATTAAAATGTGAGAAAAATGATATTTCTTGTTGTTTTCGTTATTGAAAATCATAGTTTTCAAACTACTTATCCTAATATTGATGCTACACTTGTCAGAAGTTTTACATGCAACTTTATTTCTCATCATATTTGAAAGGAAATTTCTTAACATTTTTTCCATTTGATTATTGATAATTGTCTATGAGAAATGGAAATATTCTCAGCAAGGACTTTTTTTAATAAGATTTATACCTGCAAAAATATTCAGCTATTGCCACATGGCAGTGGCAAATATTTTTGATAAATTTTATGGTCATTAACTTCATACTAATTCAACTATTACATTGAAACTTGATATGTGGATGGGCTCCAATCATATAAAATATTTGGTCAAAGTTCATGGTACCTACATAAATTAAAATTTGCCGTTCACTCCAGAAATAATTTATTTTAACCTTGGTATACATGTTCACTGCCATAATGCAACACCAAATCAAAAGGGCAGATAATCCTTAATGTTTTTATAAAAACATACAAATATTTGCTTAAAACTAGAGATACTAGCTCACTGCTAAGGGCAAGTAATTCTGCAAAGTCCTTTTGGAGAATTACCCCTCCTGTTACCATACTATCCAGCACTGACAAGAACTTTAAAAACAATATTCTCACTCCTTGCTATGCCACTCGTGAGAATACTGTTGAAGCTTACTCAATGAAATAAAATTTCAGCTTACACAACAAACAAACAAATATCCTCTATTTATTCTCAATGAAAGAATTTACCTAACTCATAGCTCATGTTATATACAATCATGCCCTTGTAAATGAACAGCATGTTTCCTTGTTTTAAAATGTCATTTTGTGCATTGTTTTTTAAAGCCAGTTGTTCAGATCTTGAGCATTGATCAGCCTAAACAGCTTTTCTGGCTAAGTAACCAGTAATTTACCAATAAGTAATTAACTGTAAGTGACCGACTATTTATCCCACATGATTTCTGAATAAGAGGTGACATACACATGATCACCAAACTCAATGTCCAAAATCAATTGTCATGGAGAAATTTTGCCTCTGGGTACCTGCCCATGGTTGGTTTATCTGATGATCTTGTTTGCCTTATGTGCAGGTGACCACGGTAAAAATATTCTGATCTGACCACTACACGTGTTAGATTTACATTCAGATTGTCTCTGTATTCTACATGTATGAAAGAAAAACACTGCCGGCATCAATGGTTGTTTTCAAATCAATTTTTGACAAGCCATACTTAAATGACAAATCTATTTTTAACATTGGTGTCTATGACCAAGTCATCGTGGGGTAATGGTTTGTAGGAAGTACCGACACAGTCAGTTACTAAATGAGCTGCCAGTAACAATATGAGCAAGAGCACATAACTATATGCTCCACTTTCGTGAGCAGAAAATCTGCAGTCAGTTCAAGTTACACTTTGACTGCAGCATGACTGTACATATCCAATTTTTTTATTTGGAACTGTCCATAGTTAAAATTCAGTATCAGATAATGTAATGGAAGTGTATAAAGCTATGTCTTTGCTGCTTAAAGTTAATACAAAATCTTTGTTTTAATTTTTTTGAAAATGATATTGCCAAAATGTCTGGATGAAAGAATTATGTTGGTATAATGGAGTGTATGCATGAAATCATTGCTAAATTGTTAAAATTATACCTCAAAATAACAGTACAATATTTGGTTCCAGAACATTTTATTCTGTCTATGCACAGTGTTCATGTGTTAAATACAAGAAACATTCTACAATCTAAAACTCTTTCTAGAATTGATAATAAGATTACGGAAACAATAGTTTTACCACTTTTAAGTTTCTATAATGAAATATTTCATTATATATTGCTTTATACCCTTTAATTAATGTGGCAGCATCACCATACTAGTATCTGGTGAACTAATAAGCTGACTGACATTTACGGTAAAAGCTATTACAATGCTCGAGACAGTTAAATAACGGGAAGTAATAAAAACAAGATTTCAGATTTAATTGACATACTTTTTTTATTTCACAAAACATATTCTCAAGACCTTTTACAAAACATTCACAGTACAAAAGTTTATAATATCTGTTTTCAAATCTGTAACAAATTTATTTCTGATATTGTACAGAATGAGAATAAAATGGTATGTCCTAATCTACAGCAATAACTTAACACTTTGATTTTTTTATCATAACTAGACAATAACCATATTCAAAACTGGTACCAACAGATTAAGCTTCTATAACAAAATGTATTAAAATTCAAATTTTCAATACTGTATTACAGTACAGATTTACCCTATATTAATTAAAACCACTTGTTAAAAGTCTAATCATCATTATAGATCTATACATAATGTACAATTCATATACAGCCTATGTTGTTTAACGTAAGCGAGCCGATGATGACCAACATATTATAAGATCATGTGATCAGTGCAGACCAAGAGCAGCTGTCAAATTCAAGTAAGTACTTATTTTGAAATTCTCCCTAAATATGATGACCGATTTTGTCCATATTAAAAGACAAGTCCATTTAAGGTTTTCAGCGTAGTAAGGTTTTAATAAATATAAATAACCTAAAGAAAAATATATAATTTCACAACTAGCAAAATTTCAAATACATTTAATGCTACATTTTCTTATTCTACTGCACTTACAATCCAATTAAAATACTACAAATTTATTTACAAGGAAAAAAGAGCAACTGTAGTTTTTTAACATCTTTGAAAAAGACCAGAAACAAACAAGCATTTGATAGTATTGCGGGCAATACAGTAGTCCCCTACCGGTCCCTCAAAAAGTTCTTTAATTGTCATACACTCCTGTGTATTGCCATTTATAATGAATTTGAGGATGAAGTCTGTATTTGAAAATATCGACCACAAAACATAATAAAATAAGTTTGTTTATATCACAGTAATGTGTTAAGTTTCCATGCTTAGTAAGGAAATTATGTTTATACAACCTTGTCATATTATTACGATGTGGGATTTTAAAGTAAATCCTATAAGGAATGAAGAAGTTGGAGTGAAAATACCAGTTTCTCGAAAAAAATCTAAGTTCAAGGGGGACATAATTCTGGAAATAGTCTTGCTAGAGTATTTAACCTTCTCAAAAATGTCGAGTGATAATAAGAAACATATATATGAAGTTTGAAGTAGATACATTAGGAAATAAAGAAGTTATTTAAAAAAGACAACATTTTTTCCCCTAAAAAATCTAAGTTCAAGGGAGGTAATATTAATATTTTTTTGTGCTAGAGTTATAAACCTTGTCACATATGATGTGGTTGATGACCAGGAACTTATATTTAAAGTTTGAAGTAAACACCTTAAGAAATAAAGAACATATAGTGAAAAAGCTGAAAAATTTAAATCAGAAATCTTGAAATTCAGGCTATTTGTTGCCATAGCAACCAGAATTTTCAACATAGGAAGAAAATAAAAAAGATGTGCATAATCTCCAGACTGCCATCTACCCATATTTCAAGTTTCATAAAAATATTTTCAGTACTTTTTGAGTTATCACTGGATCCAGTTTATGTGTTAAATTTGCCATATTTTCAGACTATTTGTTGCCATAGCAACCAGAATTTTCAACATAGGAAGAAAAAAAAAAGACGTGCATAATCTCCATACTGCCATCTATCCATATATCAAGTTTCATAAAAATATTTTCAGTACTTTTTTGCGTTATCGCGGGATCCAGTTTTGTGGACGGACGGACTGACAGACAGACAGACAGACGGACAGACAGACGGACAGACAGACAGACAGACGGACAGACGGACGGAGGGTAAACCTAAAGTCCCCTCCGGTTAAACCGGTAGGGGACTAAAAAAGCAACAATCAGACTGAAATCATTTATCATACAACAAATACAGTTTTAATAAAAACAAGGTCAACGCAATATATGCTGGGATGAACATTTGCTCCAGGAATCAAAACAATTGTTTCCTATACAGAATATGGCCTGTTCATAAAATTTGAAATATGTTTTTTCTGTTACCTTACGTAACACGAGACAGGAAATTGTCATCAAATAAAGATTTTAGTTTCAAACTAAACTAACTTTTTTTTATATTTTTTTCCACTTACATAATTATTGTCTTGAGTATATTTCCAGTATCTAATAGTTTTCATAGAACCCATGCCCTTGAGTGAAGTCAAAATTTCCTTCCTTTCATCAGTTTAAAAGACATAGAGCGGACATAAAATTGTGAACAGACAGACGGACAACAAGAGGCATAACAGTATATACCCAAAGCACTTTTGGATATAAAAAAAAAAGATTTTTACCTTAAAACAACAGCAATGTATGTAATAAATCGATTATCTTATAGTCAATGTCACAAAAATATTAATCAAAATAAACTCCAGTTCCTTTGGTTTTTAAAAATTATAAATATGAAATATCCATCCCACTAATGATAATACCTTATCAATAAAAAAAAATATGAAGAATTTATTTACAGGAACAAATACATGTAATGCACTTGATGAGGGCTAACAATTCCACCATTTTCTCAATAAATCTATCTTACTATACTTCTGAAAAGATAAAAATTTCGTTCATTCACAGTAACAAAGTAAGCACTTGACATTTCTACTTTGTAACTAACACGGCACATTCATTCCGAATTATTTCAAACTCCTATATACATGTATACCAGATGTATTTGAAAATGATCATCTAACTTTGGAAGCAAATGCCTAATGCTCTTCCCCTTAAATAACCCAACATGGGCACAAATAGCCTATTGCTCTTTGTTTTGAATAACCCAAAGTGGGCTTAAAGAGTCATAAGTGTTTTAATTCACAAAACTTAGGAGCAAACAGTTTAACACAACTTAAACACCCATCTAAGAATTGAAGAGCACAAAGCTGTTTTAGTCATCTTGGTTGGGAAAAAAGAGCCTAAAACTGTTCTATATCACCTTTCCTCCAACAGCTGTTTAAAATGAATGAGTTCACATTAACACAATGCAAAACAATAGCACCATAAATTGTCAATATCAATGATAAATAAAGCTAACATGTATGAATAACAACTTAATATAAACACTATTATAGTCTTGCAATAACATTAGACATTGAAATATAATATATCTACTTTCCTACAAGACTGTCAGCATATAAGTCGGTGAAGTGTAATATGATATTTACTCACCTACTCCATGTATAGCATATAAGTCGGTGAAGTGTAATATGATATTTATTAACCTACAAGACAGCTTACAAGTCTGTGAAAGGTAATTTGACATTTACTAATTATAAAAACAAATAGCTTATAAGTTGGGTCCAGAATTTTTAAACATAATAAGCAGAAAGTATTACATTCTACCCATCAGAATCTAATAATTTAAGCAATAAACACTGTATGTATTAAATTTAATATCAAATTTAATAAAAAACTTTACAATAATTAATTTTTAACGATATTCGCACAAAAATGTACAAGTTAACAAGTAATTGTCTTGTTATGCTTAACTTGTCATGAAAAAAAAAATTTAGCAAAAATTGTTACTGACAACTAGTACTTAATGTTGTAAAATTTCATATCTTATCAGTTTTTTTTAGAGACCTCCGTTTATAGATACAAATTTGTGGTTAATACACACCATTTGAACTTCAGCAACAAAAAATGAAAAAAAAAATAAAAAATGATATCGTAATACATGTATGTGTATTCCCAGAATAAACAAACAAAAAATAAAACCATGTGTATTCTATCAAAATGAAATATGTAAACATAATTGAAAGCCGTAAAATGCAGTTGCCTCCAATAAATGCCCGTCAGAGAGTGAAAATTTGTGTGCTATGAAATATACAGTCAAATCTTTCTATTTTGATAACATATTAACATATATGTTAGGCACAAACACAAGACAAAGCAGCAGCTTTCAATAAATGTTAATGTTTGGTGTCCTGGCAGAGAGACCTTGAACTTCAGCCAAATAACATCCGGTGGAGGTGAGGTCATCAACTAATGTAACACAGCACACAAACCTATATGTATATATTTATGAACTTATCTTTGTGCAATTATACTTAATGGTTGTCTATGTATCATCTGTTAGGAGCAAAGAAAACAATCCTCATATTTGCAGGGGACATCAAAATTAATAAATCATGTAACAAAAATCATAACAAACAATCCACTAATACTTGATTAATATTAACTTGTACATCAAAACTTTATTTCATTTTGCTTTTTTTCCTTTCTCTACACAAAAATATTTGCTAGAAAACAACTCATTGTCACTAATTGCACATCAATGGCCTTAAACAAATTTTGATGGCACAGATTTACAAAAGTGTGCTAAAACGCACAAAAAGGCGTCCTAGTGAATACCTTAATAAAAGTTGGAAATGTATTTTTGTACTTCATTTTTGTGACTTTAAAAAAAAATTAATAGAAATTTCAGTTACATTTTTTAAATTAATATCAGTCATAGCAAACAAATCTGCTAACTCTCTGTCTCTTTTAAAAAATATAAAAACAACTAGCATATCCGCTGAAGCACTGACAAATGTTTACAATATCAAAAAAATTTAATCATATTTATTTTAGATAAACAATTATTACATTTATCAAAAGAAAAACTAACATCCAACCTAGTATTTTTAAAAATACATTAGTAAATCATTATTCATCACCACCTTCCATACAGAATTCAAATTGAAATATTTCATTTTTACGCATTTACATTAGTACACAACTACCTGTGTATACATTTACACATATATATACTAATTTCTTTTGCCGCACATTTAATGCATGTATACCACTGCATGCAAACACAAAAAACACAATTATATTTTATATATAATACTATAATAAGCAGATCAATATTAAAATGGTACTCATCAAAAATTTAGAGTTGCTACAAGTTTTCCTTCCTACTTTTCAAAACTTAATTTTACAATATGATGCAAAGTGTAACTTCCTAGAACAACAGGTTATATAGATTTTTTTTTATTAAAACAAACGCTTATAAACAGACTGAATGCCCAGTTCCTGATAGTTAAACAAGAGCCTGGATAATAAGGAGTGTTTTAAATTCACAAAGGGAAATAACTCAGTAAAAGTACATAAGCCAGTAACAGAATTTAAACAGTAACATACAATTCCAGCTCAACATGCATGTGGGAAGTCATTCTAATAAGTAACTTAATTTATTGACAATATATGTGACATAGATTATAACTTCGTATTATGATATTGAATTTTCATTGGATATAAAAAATTGTAACAACTCTAAAAGGAATACAGGTTTCCCCATCACCTAACATTCACAAGTATATACATGTATAAATATCTCTTGATGAACAATACATCATTGAATTTGTATGAAAAATGTGTCTCCTATGTGACATTGCCTAGATGATATTTTTCTAATTATTCAAATTTAACATCAGGAATTTAAATATCAAAAGCTTTACAATGGGCAGCCATGAGTATGTATCTTGAATGACTGTGAATATACAGATTTACTCTAACTTCCATGAATAAACAGACTGGTATTAATTTACCAAGACATTACACCAGTCTTACTTCACTGGGCATAGAAAAGTCTTCTTGAATAAAAACAATGTAGATTTGTCTTCATTCATAGAGTCCCAGTCTAGAGACACGGACTGGTCTCATACACAGATGCACAGACTGGTCTTACTTTATGGAAAAACAGACTGGTCTTAACAGACTGGTCTTAACAGACTGGTTATAGTTCACAGATACACACACTGCCACTACTTTGTAGTGATGACATCAGAAAGTAAACACCTTTGCTAGAAATCAAAAAGGGTGTAACAAATTAAAATTGTGAAGCTAATTTCTTGTTAAAATATTTTTAAATAAAATATACATGTATCAATTAATATCTTTACACCCAAAAAATTAAAAACAATTTAGCATTGCGATAGATATTTTTTGATATACATCTTAACAAGAGAGAAAACACACATATATATATAGCGACATTCATTGCTGTTACCTACAACAACAACTCAACTTTTATTGAACTCTTGTATACATGACACAACTCATTTTTCTTAATGAGCAGATTTTGTTGACAAAGCTACATCAGAGTCTAAAAGGTTATAAAAAATTCTCCAAACTCAAACTATGATCTCAGGTAGTGGATTGGTCACAAAACTAATTTGTAATTATGTGATTTCACCAATGACAACCCCAGAGATCCGAGAAAGATCTCAGAGAGAAAGTTTTATAACCTCGAGGTCAGAAATAGCCTGCTCATTTGATTTCTCAGAGGTAGAGATTACAAATAACAACCTAAAACTTTTTAAGTTTTTTTTTTTTAAGTATTTCTATAAACTTCAATAATTTCTCAAGTATCAATTTTTTAACGAGTGTCTCCCAATAAATACACCACAGTCTTTAAGATATAAGGCAAAGATTTAAAGTATACAAGTTTGGCGACAGAAAAATAATATACAAGTACAGGTAAATCTATTGAACAAAGGTATCTCTAATATGTTTGACCTAGCTGGTCTAATACTTTACAAATGACATTTAGAAAATCAACTTGAGTAACCTGTCGGAAGAAAACATATGCCTTGCAAACAAATGACTGGGGTATTTTTGTACTAATTTCAATAATACTTTTATTCAGTATTAAACTAAGTTCAACAGATTTTTACATCTTCTTTTCTTAAAAAAAAAAAAATACATGACGTTAACCCAAAGTCAGATCCTAAACAATAAAATAAACCAAATCACATCTATTGCACATTTTGCCTTAAAGATTGCAAAATTCCACTGAATTTTATTAAAGTATTCTATTATAATATCTTCAGAAAAAAAACTTACAAAAAAGCTGTATCAGATTCTAAGCTTCAAAAGAAATCCTTGACATCAAACAAGAAAAACAACAGAAATGCTGTTATGAGTTTCAAAGTTATTGTATGTATACAAGTGTCCAACGTTTTGATTATGAGCATATACATGCATTTATTTCTTGCTCTTTCTTGCTCGTAGACCATTCTGAGCTGTATTCTGATCTACTTCTGGCAGAGATGAGATATCCTCCTCCTGGGCTGTAATATATATAGACAAAAACTTCGATTAAAATATGCTGACACAGAAAAAAATATGCTTACATAGCAAAAAAAAATACACTTACACAGCAAAAAAAAAATGCTGACACAGCAATAAAATATGCCTAGACTGCAAAAAAATATGCGGACACAGCATTCTGACAAATTTTGAGAAGAACAGTTGAAAAAGTAGCTTATATATGAAACTTTTATTCATGTCTAAGATCAAATATCTATTAAATTCATTCAAGGTCCGATACAAGGAATACTTGTTATATTACAGTGCATACCCTGCTGGTGGGATAATAGTGTATTTTAATCTATAACAGAATCCTTCAGAAGGCTGTATGTTAACACAAAAGTCTGGTGTCAATATAAATATCCTAACAGTTACTTTCCCTTTACCATCTTAAATTTGTATAATGAACATAGCATGCTTTGAACCAGGAACAATCCAATCAAAATTAATACACAACAAAGCAGTAGAAGTCATAAGGTGACTTTCCAAACCCAATGGTGAGGGGCAAGTGGTTTAAAGTCAATGACCTTAACCACAAGCCATAGGCATCCCATCGATCAAAACAAGACCACAAGAGTTTCAGCAAATTTCTTCAATTAGTCAAAACTCAAAGTATGGTATGTGAAGGTCATATGGCGATTTTCCAGTTTTACTGGTGGAGGAAAATCTCCAGTGCCTCTTCACGCAACATTCCAGGCACAAGCTGGCATCAGAGTCAAACCAACAAAAGATTGTACTATTACAATTTATTTGCATGTTTACCTTCTACACAAAAATTAGTATAAAGACACTTTTTTTGGTTGGTTGCAAAACACAGTTTAAGTCATATGGCAACTTTCCAGCTTTACTGGTGGAGGAATACCTCCAGTGCCTTTTCGTGCATTATTTCAGCACAAAAAATGAGAATAAAGGCATACAAAAAGAAATCAACATTCAAGCAAAAGAAAATCACATTGCACAACATAAATTCTCTTATCAAAACATGAAATACTCAACAACAGAAAATACACTAACTACCTACTTCACTCACCTTTACCCTTCTTCTTGGTGGGAGAGCGAAGTTTACGTGTAGCCACGGTACGTTCTCGGATTCTTTTCAAATGGAAGGTAATAAAATTCCACATCATCCATGCCTGTAGCAGACAAGTGGCTGTCAGACAAGTGATTCTGAAAAATTAAAGGAAATAAAACATAACATTAAAAATTTTGCAAGCTGTCTTTAGGTTAAAAGGGTATCAACAACCAGTTCTTTTGTTCTGTTTGATCAGCCAAAACACAAAAACATTTTTATACATAACCAACATGGACTATCATTATATAATTTCCAATATTATTTGTAATTCAGCAAAGAAATTAGAGCAACCCTGATATCTCTACTATGTCAGACCTTTGACTTTCATAAATGGCTCCTAAATTGTCTATCCATCATCATTTTTCATAATTACAAAGATAAAGATATAATGATTTGAAAATGATAAAATTATTTAAAACAAGCAATTATCATAGTATTGCAAGCAATCCATAAGTCCCCTACCAGTTAGAACCCCATCAACATTCTGAAGGGCCATTGGCCATTCACTATAATGTTTCAATTTTTCTCTATTTTAAGTAAATTTGTTGGAAAAGTTCTTTAAAAGAGATCATAGGAAACAGTTTTTATGAACAGACAGACAGACGAACTGAAGGACACTCTAAAGTTAATATTTGAAACATCCCTGTTACCAAAATATTACATTTTAAAAGCAAAATTCTTAAAGACGAGATAACTCTTGAATTAAAGATGCAATTTCATAAAAATTTTCAGCTCTTTTTGACTAATCACAAATATTGTTATATTTGCCATGTTTTAAGCCTATTTGTTGCCAAGGCAACTGATATTTTTTCAAAATAGGAAGAACAGATAAGACATGCATATTCTCAAGACTGCTATTTACCCATATGTCAAGTTTCATAAAAATATTTCCAGTACTTTTTGAGTTATCACTGGATTCAGTTTATGTGTAAAATTTGCCATATTTTCAGTCTATGTGTTGCCATAGCAACCAGAATTTTCAACATAGGAAGAAAAGAAAAAGACGTGCATAATCTCAAGACTGCCATCTACCCATATGTCAAGTTTCATAAAAATATTTCCAGTACTTTTTGCGTTATCACTGGATCCAGTTTATGTGTAAAATTTGCCATATTTTCAGCCTATTTGTTGCCATAGCAACCAGAAATTTCAAAATAGAAAGAACAGAAAAAGACGTGCATAATCTCAAGACTGCCATCTACCCATATGTCAAGTTTCATAATAATATTTCCAGTACTTTTTGCGTTATCACTGGATCCAGTTTATGTGTAAAATTTGCCATATTTTCAGCCTATTTGTTGCCATAGCAACCAGAATTTTCAACATAGGAAGAAAAGAAAAAGACGTGCATAATCTCCATACTGCCTTCTATCCATATACCAAGTTTCATAAAAATATTTTCAGTACTTTCCAAGTTATTGCGGGATCCAGTTTTGTGGACGGACGGACTGACAGACAGACGGATGGACGGACAGACAGACAGACGGACGGACAGACGGACGGAGGGTTAACCTAAAGTCCCTCCGGTAAACCGGTAGGGGACTTATAAAACTGTTATTGGTTCAACTAAAGTAAGGTTTAATTGACCAAATATTTAAGACATATCCTGAATGCAAAATTTTGTTAAGTACAATCTGCAGCCTTGTTAGAGCCTGCTTGAAAAACTTCAAAATAGATCAAATCAAACCTTAAATAAATGCCCAACACAGCAAATTGGAAATGTTACAGTCTAGGTTTGTTCGCTTCTGTTTATTGATGTTTGTGATAAAAGCAACTTCAAATACATGCCCCTAAGCACCAGCTTTAGTATCGAGTACAATTCAACATGTAAGTATGGCAATGGTGTAATGAAGAGTTAGGAGAAACACTGGCAAATGTGTTCATACGACAGTTATCCATGAAGATAGTAAAATATAAAAATATTTGTATAAGAATGTGAGTGTAAATATCAGAAATAATTATGACAAGGATGTCTATATACCTGACAAGTCTTGTGTTGAAGTTGCCGGCAGCAACATCTATAGAATCTTGACTAGATTGTTGAAGTCCGTACCTGTAACATATCATACAACATTGTAAACACTTCATGGCTACATCTGTTTGAAAATTGTATACAATTATAAGGCTAATATCACATTGTACATTTTTAGTTTGCAAAGGGCAGATTTTCCCCCCTTCTTCACAAATTTTTTTATAATCATACACTTTTCCCAAAATTTCAATATAAATCCAGTTTTTTCATTCCACTTTGCAATAAGATAATGTAAAAGAAATTATTTCCTCAATACTCTAATTTGACAGGTCATTATAAGTCGAATTACTTCCAATTTAATTTGTCACCCCATTAAATATGCGTATGGAGCTCAGGTACAACATCTGTGACTATGACAAAGTTTTCTTTTTTTCTCTGAAACATGCAACAAACTCCAATGACTCAAACTACTCTTTAATATTACCAGTATACTGAAAAATCTAAATTTAGCAACGTTACCTATGATAAAAGGCAGAAAAATTACCTACCAGAATGTAAGGACAGCTAGAGTTATTGTCCCTAGTCGTACCAGGACAAACAAGACGTTGAACACCATAAAGCAATGATTGGCTATATCAAGTTTGTCTGCAAAGTATACTAAGCGTGCTAAGTGGAATACACTTTCTACAATATAATGAAGGACCATCATCAGCAGAGCTACTCTCGTAAAACTGAAAAAAATAAAATATCATGTACATGAACATTCAGTAATTAAAAAATAGTTCTCAAGCAAGACACTTTACACTTATTGCTCAGTACTGCTTGTTTCGAGGGACGGATTTGAAATTTATCTATAAGCTATTAGCTTCCTACAAAATCAAACTGAACAAAATTCTTTATAATCCATAACAGTTGTTTAATATTTCAGAAAAAACAAATTTGCTACCACAGAGAAACTGGAAAAGTAAAATGTATGAACCAACTGCAAGAACAGTCTTTCTATGACCGAGACAAAAAGTTTTTTTTACTAGCTCCTTTTTTTCTATATGGCTATCTATTTAAAAAATATTTTTGGATTATGAGTTTGCATCTTAAAAGTTTTCATTACTTTTAAAAGTTTCTAAGACAAAGAAATCTATGGTTAAAGTCAACACCCCTTTTAGCTAATCAGGCAATCTAAATTAGATTGGAAAGTAGGTTTAGCAACCCAAGTACATCTTTTAAGTCGTAAAACTTCATTTTACTTCAATCACACTAAAGTTCTATGATGAACTGTCGGTGGCAACAGTCTTTTCCCATTAGACCAGTACAAGAGTTTGGTCATAGACTTGCCCTGTTCACTATACAGTCAGTATATAATATTATATTGACATTTTTCCAAAAGTGATGAATAGTTTTGTCTAGACTGACGGATGGACAAGTCCGTTTTAAGAAATTTAGCATGATAAGAGTTCAAGGTGTATACTTACTTGAGAGAATAGGCGACTACAATAAACACAAGGTAAAGCACTGTGTATTGAATTCTACCCTGCATCTCATCCTGCAATAAAAATGTACCAAATTTAAACTGAAGTCATAAGCGATTCATTTCTTTTTTCCCCCTAAATTCTCAAACAAAAATTTTCCATTGAAAGTTCTAAAAAATTAAAATAAAATCCTCATCAAAGAACATAATATTTATTGGTAGAGTTTTTCTAACTAAAGCATTGCCATATGCCATTAAAAAAAAACAAAACGTTCCTCATCCTTATTTAGCCAAGATACAAAATAGTATGTCATTTTCAATTTTTTACACTTGGTTGGTAAGCATATTCTATCCCAAACATAGCTATGGCTAAAATTTCCACAAAGACAATAATTATACTACATTCTTAATTTCTTATTTGAAAAGACTCACTGTTAATCGGATTAAGCTTATTTCATACACCAGAATAATAATTGAGCCGCATCACGACAAAACCAACATAATGGGTTTGCGACAAGCATGAATCCAGACCAGCCTGCGCATCCGCGCAGTCTGGTCTGGATCCATGCTGGTCGCAAACCCATTATGTTGGTTTTGTCATGACGTGGCTCATATGTTCCTGAAGTGGTTAAAAAACCTGGCAATATTGTTGCTAGTCAAGAATCCTCATAACCCAATCATAAACCAGTACATACCTTTTTAACTTTCTGGAAATAGAGCTCTGGGAAATTGTGAACCCAGTATGCCATTTGAATGATAAAGTAGAACTTGAGCATGAATGGCATGTTGTTGTGTGGGTACTCCTGCCATAACTGGTTGATACTGTGAAATCCTTCCTGTGAAAATATGTCACGTTCAGATACAAGTTTCCAAATTTAAACAAATAAATATATCTTTGGCAAAATATCTTTATGAGTGCAAAAATTCAGTTGAAATTTTTTTGAAACAATAAATTTAATTTTCATTCCCTTCTTTGTGCAAATTTGTAAGAATAGTTATTGTTGTATAGAAATGCCCATTAATTCTATAAGTATCTCCCTGATATTTAAAATGATTGTGGACGTTTGCAACCTACTCGGTGTTGCAATTTATTGAAAATCAAATGCTTAAAAAGATGAAAATTTAATCAGAAGATTAAATCATTTAATCAGTAAGAAAGGAATCCATCAACAAATCAAGATTTTGTAAGTCAAAAATTCTGTACAGTACTGGTCAGTGACTTAGAAAAGAATTTCCTCAGACAAGAAATGTTGCCAGTTCAAATACTACTATGTGTCGTTCTGTTCGTTAAATAATGGACTGAAGGCACCTTGATCTTTCCGCCACTTACGACTTGAAAGTCATGACAACAGTTTCAGCATGGCTGACAAAATTAATATCAACATAAAAACCCTTACCCTCATAATGGTGTCAATACCCCATGCAGCTGAAGCAAAGTAAAACGTCATGAGCTGTCCAGATTCATTAAACTTGCTGTGCTTCACTTTGGATAGATGCATTTTACGATTCAGTTTCTGAAACATTCAAATATATAATAAACACTTTTCTGCATCTTACCAAATACTTTCATATATAAAAAAAAATCAAAAGTGAGAAATCAATAAGAACACAAGTATCCTTAAGCAGTCTAAAAATTGCAACACAAACACACCTTAGTATATACAAATTTCCAAAAATGATACAAGCTGTCTTGAAACTAATGCATCATACAATGAACATTGAAATCAATGTCAGAGATTCTGACATAAAATAATAATCTTTATGTTGCTCATCAGTGGCCCTGCAATTTGGAATAAGATGCTGAAGATTCTTATAATACTTACATCAAGGACATATTCCTGAACAACAGCATGTGCAATGATGGCAATCAGTAGGTAGAAAAATACAGTGAACAGATCTTTGATTCCACAAGTGTACATATTGTATGGCTCTGCATTTTCTGTACCTGTAAACATTAATAATTTCATTACAGTCATTCAAACTTAGGTCTTCACATTGACTTCATTTATTTATATATAACAAAAGATAACACATAACAAGAGCGGTCGGTAGGACAGTGTGCTCAACTATACACAAAAAAGGGCTTAGCTTTTTTTTGAATTTAAATAGGGCCATAAAACTGTCAAAATCCGAGTTAAGGTTATGGACCTTAAACATTGATCTCTGATTATGCTCTCAAATATGATGCCGCCGCCTAGGTTAGTACCATAGCTCTCACTATTCGAATAGATGAGCTAAAAAACAAACACCAGTACTTCAAACATAAATAAACTATAGATGGATCTTTTTAAAAAACAAAAGGTTCATCTTTTTAATTCATTAAAACTTACAATCAGCACATTGCTAATCTAACTAAAATCATGAAATAATCTGGAATATTCATCAAGAGTATCAATTAAACAACAACAAAATATATAAATAATTTCATACTGTGAACATATTAAATGGTCAATTCTGGCTTTTCCCCAATACTTAAAATATGCAAACAGATAATTTAACACATTTTCCAAAATACACTTACCATTGATTGTTACATTGTGCTGAAGGGTTACAAACAAGGACGCTACAGGTGAAGTTGCCTGAAAAAAAATGGGAAGAATATTTAAAAATAATAAAAACTGTTTTCATTTATAAATGTATAAATATTGTGTACAAATTCAACAATGAACTGGTTTTTAAGTTTTATCAGCATCAGTAACACCACTTTCCAACCACTCACATCATATATATATAATATAGCCACCCTAGGTCCTGCAGAATAACAAAGCAACCACTTTGAAGCTAAAACAAAAAATATGTAATAGTATTATGTTATGGCATTTGTTTCACTTTCACTGTGATAAATTCCTGACATCATCCATGGGCGGCTACCATTAATGTTTTATTCATCTGCTTGTGCTTTGTCAAAAACTTTTATTGTTACTATTGTAAATAAATTAAGAGCTCAAAATAAAATAAGGCATTTTACCGATATGGATCACCAATCACTTTATAATGAAAACCCGGTAAATATACTTTTCATTATGGAAGTGGCTAGCCGTGCGAGCCTGTACGGCTAGCCAAAAGTTCTAGCCGTATGTGAGTCACATATGACTAGCCAGGCCACACTGTATTGTCTAGCTGAACGGCACTTCAAAATCATATGAAAGTCAAAAATGCATATGATTGTTATTTTGTTTCTTTAAAAGAGGATTTAAACAAAGTCCCCGCATTTTTCGTTGTGTGATCACTTTAATAGATATGCTCCGCTATTTTGTAAAAAAAAAAATGAATCTGAAGGTAATGCAAGCGTTGTAATCTTGATAAAAGAGTCACAGTTGCATGTTATAAGTTATAACGTGGTTGTTTTTCATGCTTATGATTTGTTGTTTTATTTGTAAATGAAAGATGAATTATTAAATCATTTTTTGTTAATAAAACACATGGATTGAAAAACTAATCATAATGGCAATAGAGATTTTTTCATAACGGCATGATCGGAGCAGAATAAAAAAAGAAAATAGAAGAAAAAAAAACAACAGTAAAATCAGGGCTCATCTGGAAGGGCGATTCAGGCGAAAACTTCGCCGTGTATATTCCAATTTCGCTCTCCCGATTGATCAAAGAGAAGTCAACATCGCCGATAAAATCTTAATTCCCAAATAGTAATTAATTGGCGATGTAAAGAGCAGAGATTGTATCCGCCCATATGACGACTGCTGATTATCATTATCCAATCAGAGCGTCGCTTTATACTACCCTTCTACCTGCTGTAAGCAAAGCGATAGACCGCCTACTCTAAACAGTAAATAACGAGAGCATCGGCCCGAAACGGTATATTTGTGTGACAGTTTTGCGAGTTTACTACGGGATTTGGCGATAATTATAGATTGTTTTTTCCCCGATTATCTAAACACGTGCAATCTTCCCTAATTGATTTACACGATGCACTTCGATGGTGGGTTTTTAACCCGAGTAAAGGCGATGTGCAATGGATTTTTCACGGCTATCACAAAACTGTTAGTCAATTAAAATATTAGTCAATTAAAAATAATCAATTTCATTAATGATCAGCGACCGGATTAAAAACTTAATCATAGTTTTGAATTATTTCAGTCCGTTAACATCAATTTTTACTGTAAAATTATGTCGCTCACGTCATGGCTACAGGGCGAAATGCCCAAACATAGCAGTAAGAAAGTTACTGATTCTGATAGTTACACCTACGCAAAAATTTAAGAAAGCCAATTCGCAAAATTCTTGCGATTGGTATGTTGTAGACAGTGAGTGTGTTTGGCATTGTTCTCTTTGTAGAAACACAGCCTACGCACGTGGGCACGACATCCCGGCTAAACTACATATCGGTCGTATATAACAACAAAATTTGTCAGGAAAGAAGTGTTCTTATTGTTTCAATATATATATTTGTTTCAATGTCGTAAATATGACGCTCAGATTAAGATTTATCAATATTGTAAATTTCAAAAAGCATTATTTATAAAGATATTACTGAATTTAACATTTCATGAAAATAAAGGGAGGTAATTATAAATTTATTTTCTATAATTTCTCAGTCAAATGTTTCAATAAGTAATGAATGTATATAATTTTAGTGATCAAATATAATGTGCCCAAATGTTTGCAGTACATATTTTACATATTCTTCGATGTTTGAAAATTGTTTTACAAGCATAATTATATGCATATAAATCTGACATTACAATGTACAGGATATCAAAAGAAAATTCTGTTATCACAACAGAACAGATTTTATTAATTAATAAATGTGAGGAAAGTAAAAAATATAAAATTATTTTTTTTCATCATATTTTTCTTACACATTATTATCAACAAATCTACATGAAAATATATAAACACATGTTTAGAGAAAGCTAATAAATAGCTGATAAATAATTTGTTTTTATTCATATTTGCAGCTCAAAAACATTTAGATGCCATTGCCAGATCTACTATTAATTAATCTACAATTAATTAATAAACTGGAGAAATATTATAAGTGATGTTAATTGTGTTTATATTATAATTAAAGGATGTGTAGCCAAGCATGTTAATGCATACACATTGGGTTGTTTCCCTTCTCCCTAATTTTCGCGAGGAAGTCACTTCTCCCTAAGATTTCCCCCCAGGATGAGCCCTGAAAATGCAAAAATTTATTAACAACTGTATAATTTTTAAATACAGTACTATAATACTGCACATAAAAGCACAGTTAGCCTATCTAGGGACTGACAATAGAATTTTAGAATGCGTTTCAGGGAACATGCAAACTTTCCTTAATGATGGACAAACTTCTACTCTCGGTCATTGATGCAGTTATCAGAGCCCAGCAACAATTATCTTCGGTGCTTTTTCATTTTTAAAGGTGTTGAAAATTAAACCAGCAGGCTTCGCGAAACTGCTGAAACATTTGCCTGACATTCGGTCAGACAAACTTTCAATTCTTGTCTGACCGAAAGAACTTTTGTCTGACCGAATTTTTTTTCCAAATATATGTACATGTATATGGTAATACCTTTGTGGTTTTTTTTAAAGACATAGGTACTTTTAAAGATTAGCAACACAATTTTATTCTCTTAAATAAAACTTCAGTTTATCCAGATTGATGGACTCTGTCTGGAAATTTAAACATTCATGATCAAAATCATCATCATCATATGATCTTTATAAAATTTATGACACAATGTACATTTCATCTTATTTTCTTCCTCGTTAAAAACCAACCACGAGCGGCCATTTTTCCATTTACCCACAAATTTTCTCGGCAGGCGCCTGGACTCGTATTTCTTTTGTTTCACTTTTTTCCTTCATTAGATAATTTATGTTTTTGCCTGGCGTAGCGCCAACGTAATAATTTAATAATGCAGTAACACCGACATTTTCTTCCGAGTACAAGATCATCGAAAGTTGTATGTATCTAGAATTTGATTGGACACTAAAAATGAAACGGCGAATGAAAACTCGTTTTACATTTCTTTATTCAAGGGAGAAAACTCGGTCTTGATCGGTCTTGGATATATCCCGGTATTCGTACAGGACATAAGGTCCGGAACTTGGAAAAAAATATGGGACCGGCTTGATTTTTGTCGGACATGTCCGACGGTCCGGCAACTTTCGCGAAGCCTGAACCAGTGATTTTTTTCTCAATTTTGAAAACAACCTGTGGCTTTCTGAAGGAGAAAAAAATATAGCATGTTAAATCAGAAAAGGGGAAAATACAATTCCCACTACTGAGAATGAAATTTAACACATTTTATAAAAAATTCCATTTTAGTTCAATTTTACATGCATAGTACATAGCAAAGGCTATCTATAGGGACGGCTTTCAATCTTCTAGCTGATATAAGTCAGCTGCTCTCATGACGAGTATGCACATGGCATTAAATGATTTTAGGGGGAAATTTTTAGGGGAAAAAATACCTATTTTGGGCTAGGGGAAACAGCATTTATTCGGCTGTAAAATACAGGAAAAAAATCACTGTAAACTTATTGAAACAAAACTGGATTATTATCACAATTTTGTTATTCAACTGCAACCAAATGCTCTTTTTTTCTCGCCATCTGGAGATGACAAAGATTGATACTTGTACTTTGTTTACTGTAGCCAACATGGCGATTAATCTCTAAAAAGTAATTTGCAACAATTGCTGTTTCTTTCTTAAAATCCTCGCTAAAATTCATAAAATAACATACGCATTTTCGACTTCCATATAATTTTTAAAAGTGCCGTACGGCTAGCCAATACAGTGTGTCCTGGCTAGTCGTACAAGACAGCCACTTCCTTTCATTATGACCATACATGCCATGCAAATATCTAAATACTTTACTGAAGTCTACTTAGTCCAATATATATGACGTTACAGGCTTGTTATTATATAGTTTTATGTTGGTCAAGCCTGACGTCTGATAGTTATTGCTCATAAACGCATAGCATTTTAAAAAAATAAAAAATGTCTATTGTCTTGCCTTTCAAGCTTTATTCAAAAGCTCATCTTCTTTTTTTTCAATTGCATGCTCTATCATTAACAAAAACTCTCAAACAATGTACTTATCAATTAAAAATAACATATAAATATCAATCTATTTTGCCTATCGGCCATACTGGTAAAGTAAAGCGCTTTACAGATTGATTCCAAATTTTTGAACGGAAAAATATATTCGAACACACTGCAGCAGCTGGTACATGGGCAATTATTTTGTTAATAAAAATTACGTTAGAAACTTCTGGACTCATTTAAACGCTTGCATTTGAATTAGCCAATCAGATTTCGCGCACTGTATGGCGGCCATTTGTATATCGGCTGTGCAAGGAATTTAATCAAATGAGAGGATTTAATCATGACTTTTCGGATGTGACAGTTCAATTATTTTCTTAAAAGGTATTTATTTTTTAGCTTTGTTCATAAATAGGTCAAAATTAATGTAAATACACGCTGTTTTAATTGTTTAAATTCATTAGATCTAAATCGATGTCTAATGTCATTTTTTTTGCTACACGATTTTGCAAAGATCTGTTAAGACCAAAAGTAACATGGAAAATGAAAAATGTAAAATATCAGATTAATGAATGATAAATATGAAATAGGTTACGTATAGGTCTTATAATTAGGACTACATTAGATCTAAATCACTGTTTAAAGTAAATTTGTTTGCTACACGATTTTGCAAAGATCTGACAAAGACAGAGATCTCTAATAATTTGTTAAATTCATGACCATATGTCAAATGAAACTTGCTAATTTTTATCTAAAGTTAAACTAATTACGACAGTAACAATAATGAATTTTAAAGAAACATATGCAATATGTTAAAGCAGTAATTTGATTAACACCGATACTTGAACACTAACAAGAAATTTGCAAAGAAATAAGAATACCATATGCTTTATGTAAAACTGACATGCGCATGATGTGGCATTTGTCAAAGTTACAAACCTGAAACATGAGTCCTATCACAAAAACCATGGCCACACATGATGTTATATCTGCATGATTTTGAATAACAAACTCATGGCTAAAAACCGGTGGGTTTTTATTGCTTCTACCTCGACGCATACCCATCTTTGCAGCAAAAAATAATAAATTTTCCAACCGGCGACAAAGAGGAAGTGTTTGGCAAATTACCCACAGTTCAAATCGGCATTGCGTTTGCAACGCGTCATTTCATTGGATAAAATTTGACAGATTCCGGGGATATATCATTCTCCGGTCCGGTCGCTTCCGGTCTCCGGTCTATTTTAACCTTATTAACTTGGCCCGGTCAGTGCCGTCTTCTAATAATTATATTTGTAAAAATGGGTCGATCTTTCTAGATGAAAAAGGGTGTTGATATAAAATATGTTATTTTTCGTATATGATGTATTTTGTTTCCAATTATTATTTTAATTATACGTCTTTTTTTGGTCGTTATTTATTTAATTAAATCAAAGATAAAATAATAAATGTTAATAAGCATATTAATTAAAACTTACATGATATAAAATTGTATTCTATCATAATGGTACTGAACCACCTTACCTTTATTATGATTTTTGTCTTTTTTACGTAAATACATACTTTGAAATGTGTATGATTTAAATAATTCGTACAATCTAATGTGTAACTTAGAGTTATTCCTCAGAATCTTTAATAAACACGAATAAAAAATTAAATAAAATGTTTCAAAGTTGATTGTGTCATATCAATACATAAAAATGTACCTTTTATTCAATTATTGTACATAAGTATTGTAAATAAAATGAAACATGCTTTGTTCTTTTAGAATTGTATGTTTATGTATAAAATAATAATAATAATAATAATAATAATAATAATAATAATAATAATAATAATAATAGATCTAATAATAATAATAGATAAATTTGAGAGTTGATCTGTGTTAATTAATTATTGTAACTAAAGTAAGTGACAAACATTTATTTTTGGAAAAAAAACTTATCTATTTATGATATCAAATAAAATATCTTCCCCAAAACCGGGAGAGACCGGACAATAAACGGGCGCAGTCTAAAACGCGGACGCCTTAAGCGGACAATATAAACATATAGGGAAAACGCTGACGATATAGACAAAGAGGAAAAAAGCGGACGATATAGATATATAGTGTAAAATGACTGAGCAGGGTTAAATTCATAATAAAGGCTAATAATTGGCTTTTATAAAGTAATTTCTGAAAGGTGTAATTATTATAATAATTAAAAAAGACTTTAGTTTATTTATTTGTTCAAATTAATCAATGATAGATAATCTATTCCCCATTGTAATCTTTATCAACCTGAATTAGATATGAATTTTCTTGAACAATCATGTTATGTTCTACCAGACAATAAAACAGTAAGAAATGTATAAATTATATATTTATGTATATACTGATTCCATTTTTTTATTTAAATAAAGTGTCCACGTGTCACTTGTATATTTGATATAATCCTGCACGTGTTTAATTTCATCATACACATGATACTTTATACCATATTTCATCAAGTCGAAATAGAAAACGCGGACAATATAGACATATAGTGGAAATGCGGACGATATCGATATAGAGGGAAAACGCTGACAAAATAAATGTATAGAACGGGAGAATAGAAAACTGTTATGAATAAAAAAATATCTGGCTTCTACCATGTCGACTTAATCACGCACCGACACTTGTATATTTCAAGTAATCATACATCTCACCCTTGTACAATTAATAAAGTGGCTACAGAAAATGCGGACAATATAGACATATAGTGAAAAAGCGGACGATATAGATATAGAAGGAAAACGCTGACGAAATAAATGTATAAAACGGGAGAATAGAAAACTGTTATATAAATAAAAAATATCTGGCTTCTACCATGTATATAATTAATTTATATCAATTAACTTTCTTTAATTCATAATATTTTTTAGTTTTATTTATATTTTATCCATTAATCTGAATATACCTTCCAGAAATTTTTAACAAGGTAACTTTTTACACGAATGCCGTTAAAACAAAGTCAATTTTAACAGTAATTGACTCATTACAAGGCACATTATATATATCTTTAACTTTCAAGTTAGATAATTTTAACTTCTTTTCATCATTTATTACTCTATTAATCTTAACTTTACATGGGAGCAATCCTTCGTATCTTCGTGAATAATTTATGCACTTACAGATTTTAGCACTAATTTTTCAAATGCCTATCAGGAATGCGCTGAAGCTCATACAAACACGCTTATGCCAATGGAAAACAAAAATATCCATGGTTACAATTTTTATATGTTGAGTGCATTGAAATGAAAATATCAACTATTCAACTTACATATATGTACTTGCTGCGGGAGGGCTTTTGTCCGCCCTATTATTTTCACGGGAGGGCTTTTGTCCGCCAAGTCATTTTTACGGGAGGGCTTTTGTCCGCCCTGTTATTTTCACGGGAGGGCTTCATCCTTATTTTTTTTAATGTGGTCAATTTAGTATCATTCGTAATTTGAAAAAAAAAATATTATCTTATTTGCCATTAAGTTTTACGTATATGAATATATTATTTTATTATACAGCATTTCTATAAAGTTCATCGATTCCCACCTCATCATCAATAAGTCTACTCTAAATTTCATTATCGTCCGCTTTTTTCCTCTATATCTATATCGTCAGCGTTTTCCCTATATATCTATATTGTCCGCAAAATGCGTATCATGTTATCTCTAGCTAAGTGCCGACACGATTAATCAGTAGCGTGTTGTTCACACTTATATAATTACCGTTAATTTGCAGCACGCTTCTGCTTATATTGTATCAATAAAAAACAACAGCCTGTCATTACTTATTTATATCAATAATTTATGATTAAAAATTACTCTTACAAACTTTTGATTTTGAAAAATCAAGGCTTTCTTTATTTTGCGAACAAAAATTTTGTCCGCCTACTGCACATAATGACAGACAAAAACAATGCCAAAATGAAATACATATCCTTAATTACATATCAGCTGTTGCCAATTTAATAGTACCATCATTGTAATTCTAAAGACATTCATTTGATCCATTTGTTTCATATATTAGTTTTCAATATTTAGAAATTCCGAAAATGTGTCATATAAATATAATATAAAATTCATTGACATTCAATCATAAATTACTTTAATATTTCTCCCAATTTGCTAATTTATTATATTTTTTTTATATATTAAAGTATAAATCCAATTACACATCATTTTTATAAACTTCATCAATGCCCAAAATCATCACCAATTAGTCTACACTAATATCTATATCGTCCGCTTTTTTCCTCTTTGTCTATATTGTCAGCGTTTTCCCTATATGTTTATATTGTCCGCTTAAGGCGTCCGCGTTTTAGACAGGCCCCAATAAACGTGTGGTACTACTCGCCGGTCTCTAGTAAATCCCGGTCAAAATAGACCGGAAAATACCGATAGGAGACCCCCTAGATTCCGGAAGTATATTCGGATACAGAGACTGACATTTTCGCGGGAAAAAAACAGCTATGGGTGTAGGTAAAGATAATTTGCATTGTCTTTTCCACCAATTTCCATAGTAGATATATGTCTATGATAACGGGCACTTTTTCGCAATATAGTCAGTATTAAATTTATACTACTGCAGTGCAGACGTTGATACATTACTGTACGAATTATTTTGCAATGATTTAAGGGGAGTACATATTATTCCATAGTATAATGCTACACTGTATGAGGGAAGAAAGAGTACTTATGGTAGTCATAGGATACCTGTATTTGGCGTAGGGATAAGGGATGCATATGTCTGGTTAATCTATGTGGGGTTTGAACATAAGTTGGTACTAGATTAATTTCAACTAGGTTATGGTATATCTTGTAATAGGATGGGTATTTACGGTAATCTAACTTAACAGTTAATCTATAAGTTATGAGTTACTATCTTTCATACTTATTGCATGGTATATACAATATTATTCTCAACCACATATAAAATATATCATAAACATAATCTTAATCAAATAATAAATATAGTTATTCTTAATATAAAACTAAATATAAATTGATAAGTATACTCATTCAATTTGTTAGGGCTTTTCATATATTAAAAGCATTGATTGAAATTGTATTTACTAGTTGTTGTTGTTTAGTCCATCATCTTTATAAAGTGACACTTATATATAAATCTACTGAGCCCTGAGAATTTACTCCAGTTATAATTTGTGATCATTTGGTCTCCGTGTAAAGCATTGATTCTCATTAGAACCTGACCACTATTACAATCTTATAAAACATTATCAGTCTACAGTCTAATCTGCGATGTTCAAGGGATCGCCAGCCCAGTTCTTCCTGCATGGCTGTGACACTAGAGTGAGGGGAGTAATCTCTTTTAACACATCTTATTGCGCGTCTCTGGATCATCTCAACTTTGTCAATATTGGTTTTAGTGTAAGGAGACCAAATAGTTGAGGCATATTCAACCTGTTTATTGAAACTCACAGAGTTTTGAAACAAATTAAATCACAATCTAGACAAAGTTCAAAGTGTGAAAATAAACAAAGGGGGATAATTAAAAATTAGGCAAGGCAGAGTTACGGTTCTTGTGCATTGCACACCTACTCAATGAGATCTATCTACCTACAAAATGTCATGTTGATACCACTTATACTTTTAGAGTTATGTCCCGGACAAAGTTCAAAGTGTAAAATAAACAAAGGGGGATAATTCAAAAACTAGGCAAGGCAGAGTTACGGTTTTTGTGCACTGCACACCTACTCAACGAGATCTATCTACCTACAAAGTTTCATGTTGATACCTCTTATACTTTTAGAGTTATGTCCCGGACAAAGTTCAAAGTGTAAAAATAAACAAAGGGGAATAATTAAAAAATTAGGCAAGGTAGTTACGGTTCTTGTGCACTGCACACCTACTCAATGAGATCTTTCTACCTACAAAGTTTCATGTTGATACCTCTTGTTGTTTCAAAGTTATGTCTCGGACAAGAAAAGGGGACGGAAGTCCGGCCGAAATGGAATAAGGAGCAATTTCTTTTGTTATTTTCTATTGTTTAATAGAGGGCCAATGGCCCCTTACTCTATTGTTACGGAATGAACTCTATTGTTCTCTTTTGTTCTGTTTACAGTTAGATGGCCCCCTATCCCTATTTGGTAGTGCGGACAGACGTACAGAAAGACGGACG